AGTCGCTATTCTTGAAAGCGATTAAGGAAGCAGGCGAAACAACAAGAGCAGCAAGCCAAATTGCTGGTTATGGTAGTGGATTAACAGTGAAAAAGGAGAAAGAAATAGCTGATCATGGAAAACACAAACAGAACGATGTGAATGTTATGGATGAGGAAGAGGTTGGTAGTAAATTTATTTATTGCTTTTTCGAATAACTCATCATTTTACTGTGGTAATGTTTCCTTTATTTATATCCTTTGCTGGATTTTCACTGCTTCTGAATCTTAACAATAACTGCATGGTGATTGCTAAATTTCCTATCGTATATTTATATGCATATATTATGTTAGGGTATTGAAATCGATGTTTATGATGATATTGGTGATGCTTTGGTTGTTATGCCGGATGAATCAAATAATGGAAATAGTAACAGTCGTTCAATCGTGCAGACAGTTGATGAATCCAATTTAAGTGAACCAGAAGTAGAAAGAAAACGCATGAGAACATATGGGTGTGTTTGATAGTTTTATTTTATTTCTTAGAAAATTCCAGCTGTTGATATATGTTCGTGTTGAAGATATTATCAGTCAATTTTTGGTGTTGGTTGGTTACTGCAGCTGCTAAATATTTGTGTGGTCAGAGTTTTTGTTATTAATGTCAAAGTCTTTATTAGTGTCAGAGTCTTTTTTGATAATAAATATAAACGCTGTTCAGACCAAGCTCTATAGAAGAACCAAAGTTTTACATAACTTTAAAAGGCGATTCAATCAGCGGTTTGGCTAAACGACTTACAAAAATTGGTGAAGGAAATGTTGAAATTGTTAGCAAAAAGAAGGCAAAAAGGCGTAAGAATGAAACTAATCCAAGTAAGTTTTAAGATCTTTTCACACCTTCTTTCGGTTGTCTGGTTTCTTAATTCAGCTAAATATGCAAACAACTTATTGGCTCGTTATTGTATTACAGTTTTGGCACATCTGAATTTGTCACAACCAAGACAGGTAAAAAGAGAAGCATCTCATGAGAAATCAACTGCCAACAGTACGGAAAATGAAACATGCGTGGTAGCACATTCTAATGAGGTAAAAGAATTGAAGTTGTTAAGAGAAATGAGAGCAGCATAAATTACACACAGACTGGATAACTTTTTTTGCACTTCTCCGCGTATTTGAAGATTTTCTTTGTCGTTCTTAAAGCTTCAAATTTTATTAAAAATTTTATATAAAATAAGATGCTGAGTGATACTAAGCATCGAACATGTGTGTAGTAAAGTTTTTTTCAGGTTTCCAATAATTCGAAACCTTTACCCGCTTGGGATTTGCAAATACAGCTGCCAGAAGATGATACCAGTGATGAAGGTGATGACGATGGTGATGACGGTCTGTTTTTTATCCTTAGTAAATTCATATAACTGGATCGGAATCAACGTATGATATAAATTAAATAACTGCATCTTCGCTAAATATTATGTCGCCCAAAATTATTAAACTGCTAATTCTTTTGATATTTATGAAAACATTTGTATTGCTATCAAAACATAAATTGCAGTTTGATGAAAGATAATTTGTTTGTGTAGCTCTTTGTTTTGCATTCATTGTTGGATGATGTATGCATTGCAAACTTTTTTATTTGAGCTTACGAAGCCGGTTGACTACTCGTTTGAACAAACATAGCTAATTTTGAAACTCGTATAGGTTAAATGTATTCATAAAAGAATTTTGAAAATATTTTTACAAAACTTAAACAAGCACATAATAATATTTATCTTTTTTCAGAAGCGCAAATTGATGCTGTTCTTGCCAGTGCTCAGACTGTTGGTCAAGGTTTTGATGAGGTTAGAAGTTGATGATCAAATATTGTTGGTATTCCATAAAATCTCTCTAGCAACCTTACAGTTTGTAGAGTTAAGATATTTGAATGGAAAGTTGGCGAGACTTGAAATATTTGAGACTTCTTGGAAATGTCTTTACCTACCTTAACTTAGGAACGAATGCCACATAGGTGATGGCTTATCATGATTTAAAACTTCTAGAATATAGTGATTTCCGGTCTCGAATCTTAAAAGCTTTTTAATATTATCATATTTAAGGTACCTCCAACTCCTGTTCTGTCGAGTCCGCTATTTCGTCCACAGACCCCTCCACCTCAACTTTTTTACAGTACACCACGACAAAATGTATTTGCTGCTAGTAGACAGGTGTCTTATTTGGCTACACATTTATTATTTATAATCGAAAAAAGTTTCAGGCCTTTTCCTATTCAAACAAGTAAATTTTTCCTGCACAATTTTGAGGATTTAAAGATGACCCAAATATATGATATTATGTAAGATGACATTTCAGTTTTGTAGTTCTGTCACGATCTGAAGATATATTGTGTTGAAGTAAACAGGTGAGTCTGCTAATTGTTTGCTTGTTTAGATATCAAATTCATCAATAGTTTCATCAACAGGAGGTGAAAAGTTGATGGAGCGTTGTAAATTTTGGCCGAATTGTTCTCTTCAAAACTGTGTATATATTCATCCGAGTAAGCCTTGCAGGTAATTATTTGAAGGCTTATTGTGTTACAACTATTTTAGCTATTTTACTTATTTGATTTTAGCATACTTAGTTGTGTTACCTATTGTTTTAAACGTTTGTAATCGATTTAGCAAGTTGATTTTTTCACTGGTAATAGTTCCATTAGTGGCACTGATAGGTGCAATCAGAATGCTAAGATCATTTAATCTCGAAATGCTAAGGTTCATTTTATGCAGCATGCATTTATGTACATCTTAGCATAATGTAACACTAGAAAATTTTGGAAAGCAATCACTCTAAACTTTAAAAGTTAAAAAAAAAAACGAATTACATGCAATAGTATTTGTTAAATTAGTTCGGATGTTTATCAAATTAGCTTCCTTTCACAGCAATTTTCCGAACTGTTCGTTTGGTGACCGATGTATTTACATCCATCCGCAATGCAAATTCGGTCGTATGTGTTTGAATCCCAACTGTGTTTATGCACACATTTTGAAGTCAACGTATGTTTTTTAATTGCAGATATTATCTTCCTAATAAACTCTGAGTGCTTTGAAGCTTCCGTTTTTAAATAAAGATTGATTAAGCGTCTCATGCATGAGTATGAAGCGCTTATGCGAACTTTTTTATACATAAGATTTATGTACATCTTAGCTCATCGGTTTTCATTATTTTTTAAAAAATATCTTTTAATTCAAACATCACAAAATCATCTGAAATTTCAGGACAGCAGCAACAGCAGCTCCATCAGCTGAGGTGGGAGCACAGGCATCGCTAAACTCAGTTACGTCTGCTGCTTCGTACGCTTTGAATATTCCATGTAAATATGGTGGGAAATGCGCGAATGCCAGCTGTAGCTTCAAACATCCTAAGGTTATTCATTTTATTATTTTAAGATTACAGTTATTTTTAAAACAAGTAATTTACATCAGTAAGTATAGCTCGAAGTCTACGTTTTATCGTTTTAATAGAGGCTCCCTAAAATTTGTATTCTTTATGCAATACAAAGAGTAGTGTTTTTCAGCTTTGTCGTTTTGGCGATCGTTGTACGAATCGTGCCTGTTATTTCTGGCATCCTAAGGCTAGTGCTGTTGCACTTCTTAGTGCAACAGGTGCGAAATATCGATGGAAAGCACCAAGCGTAGCGGCAACATGAACTGGCATAAATAATTATAAAATTGGTGATTGGAGCCTGTGCTAATATAGTTTACTTCATTATTGTGACTTAAATCGATTGTGCACTATTATGGGAAATCCGACAATTTAATTTGTCTGGAATTGCCAAACTCCTAGCACCAGCGTCTTTTCCAACTTCTGAAAAGTCATTAGTGAATTATCTCTAAAGTTTGCTTCTTGCTTACTAAACTTTGCATTATTATTCATGATGGAAGGGAGTGGTGTATTTTGTTGTTTTCGAAAGTTTTCTTTTCATAATTCTAAGTCATATTTTCATGTGATTTTAAACGGTTAGTTTCCCATAGAAGATTGTGTCAAATTACATCTCCTTCCATCACCAAGAATCTTCATTAAAACCTTGCCGCATATCTCTACCTTTTCATTACTTATGCCTCCTATACACACGTCATTATTGATTCAAATATGATTTACAACCATTCATCCAATCAATCTTTTTCAAAATTTTATTGATATAGAATTAGGAGTTCTGAAGACTTTTCTGTCATATGATATCGGTGCACAATGCGTCATTCTTGTTACAATTTAAAATGCGCAAAATGTCAATTATTCATTAATAGGTAGCTACGTCGACTCAATCTTTTCGGTTTTTTAATTGTATTGTCTTGTACTTTTTTAAGTTTTATTGTCATATAGCCTAGACATTTATTTGATATATACACAGGCAGCAATGTATGCCTAAAGTGTTATGGATCGAGAAACTAATAAAATAATAAGTAATAGAGAGATATACATTGGGAGATTTATTTATTCGAGCCGTCTATCAGACTGTGAGCTTACCTCTGTTCTGAATGGCACGATTTTGTTATTAATTCGTCCTTTAGTAATTTCTGTAGTGATCTATTCTGTTTGATTTTCGTCTGAATATTTTGAAATAAAAATTTCACTTGAAATTCGTAACACTATTCCACTTTCAAATTGCTGTAGACTGTTGTTAGGATGCAGCTTCTGGTTTAACAATTTTATCAACTTATTGTGTTGGTGATTGCCTGCTATTCTTGATATTTTATGCAAGAAATTCTGCATCAACTGCATTTGACCTTTCCATCCGAAATGCTAGGAAATATCGTTCTGGCAGGTAATATATTGTGAAGTCACAAGCTCTCTACCAGTTTTTTTTGTAAAGTTCGAGAAGTACAAGCATCATTGCTGTCATCATCACTATAACTGTTGGAAGCTGTTCTTCAAGATCTAGAATGTATATGCAATGATTCTTCGAATTGACCTGCGACCTTGCAGTATACGACTCATTTTATGTGCATACAATAGAAAAAGCTGGCACTTTATCATTTGTTACTACTTAATTATTCATAAGATAGGAGGTGCTGGTGATTCATTGCACTGATAGCTTTCATCTTCGTCCACGTCCTTATCATTTGTGATCTGTGATCCCGGTAACATCTGTATCCTCATTGGTGTTTGTTTTGGATGTCGAATTTGTATCTGCGGCTTTTGACGATCCATGTCAAGCGATCGATTAATGTATTGACCACGATTAAGACTGCAGTAAACATTTTACTTTTAATCTAATTACTTTTCAAGCGCATATTGTATTTGTATGGTACTAAATGAGTTACTCATTTACTTTCGATCACTACATTAGGATGTATTCAGGCCCTTGGCTCAGAATCAGTGAAAGTGCAGTAGAATAAACAGCTAGGATATGAAAGAGAATAGTCTAGCATAAGAAGTCTAATGAATTGCTTCATCAATAATTACGTAAAGTAATTTTTATGTAACAGGTGAAAAAATATGAAATAAAGATTGAAGATCGATGAAAAAAAAAAAAAGCCCCAATTTAGTTTTTGAACTTGAATAGGATTTCAAATGATACTTCATTTCTACCATTCTATTATTCAATCATAAATTTAATGATACTTACATAGATACGTATATCTGATTAAAGCAAGCACTCAAAAGAAAAATAAGATTATCTAACCGAAGCGATGCTTGTGTTCGATGTGAGAATAATTTAGAGAATCGCTGATGAGCAAATAAATGTTGATATCTTTTCTGTTTATCACTACCATTACCATCATTTTGCCGCTTCCGTCGTATCGACTGAGTTCTAAAATACTAAAAGTATGCCATTGATATTTTATATTATCTACTTAAAATACAACAAAACAATACAATATGAATAAGACATTACGAATAAGCCAATATCACTTGAATCTTTGACAGTTTGTTCAGTTCAAATGAGTTCGCTAGATGATAAGAACAATTTATAGTACATCTGTAAGTGAAATTAAACACATTAAATGAACCTATAACTGAGAAAATCTAATGATAAGTAACTTCATTAGTTATAAGGGAAATAATTTGTTAGAGTGGAAATGAGAATACTGCATTCATTAACAAATGACAAATATTTTTCTTTCTTCTCATAATACTTTCCTTCTCTAACTATTCAAAACAAAATGAGAATTACTAATGTGACAACAGGACGACAAACAATATCTCTCCTAAGACATAATATTCTTTCAAATTACAAAAGAATACTACTATCAATTAAGAATGGTAGAAAAGGAACCAAATTAATTATCAGATAATCAGATCAGCAGTAAGTCAGAGTAACGTAACTCATGATAGAAGTGTGACTGATAAGCGTACATATCAGTATCAGTTTTGTGAGGAATTCAAGATACTAGTAAATGAATTGCACTGATCGATCAACTTGGTTACTGATTAAGTGATTCAGATTGCTTGATTTCAAGTATAGAGTAGAGATTGGAGAAAATTTGCACACATAGAATATTGTATTAAGAATTGAATTATTTTAAAAGATTATTCAAATTAAACAAAACATACCGAGCAAAGTTGATAAGTGAAGAATCTTCATCAATCAGATTTTCCGGATGCTGCGATAAATAACGTTTCCAGAGTGCATCCGTAATTTCAGTACAAAACATTACACCAGCATGGAGTGCTATCATTCGTAACACTAATACACCATCCACCTGTACTTAATTATATTAGAGGATATATCGAGAGTAGAGTTCTCAAGAATAAAAACTAGAAAAAAGTTCAAGAAAGAAAAAGGTGCAATAAAAAAAAAAAAGAAATCAAATAAAATTACTTTGAGGTACGCCTTTAAGAAATGTTCCACTTGGTTCCGCTTTTCCTTCCTAAATAATTCAGGTCGATCAGGATCAGTTGTTAATTCCAGATGACGTAAAACAAAACGAACACGGTCCCTACAAAGCGATATATCTTCTAAAAAGCATTAAGTATATTAAACAGATTTTGGCTTTTTTCTTGCACTGTGCAAGAATCACAAATGGAAATCCATAGACTAAGCAAAAGGTATAAGTGATAAATAATTTATGCAAATACTATGCAAAGAATTTTTTTTTTAGTTTTTCCTTTTTCCTTCTTATCAGATAAATATGACAGAAACGTTACCTTATTGATAGTAAAATATAGCATAGGGATTAATAAATGAGCGTAATTTGAATTTATTTTTCATCATAACATAGTCATATATAAGTATAATCTAAGCATAAATTTAAACCTGATCGAAGTTTGAAGCATTAAACTAAACTTCAATTAAAGACTAATCCTAAATTTTTCCTTTTAAAAAGAATAGATAATTAAGTTTGAACACTAGAAGAAAGTTTAAATTAAGTTAGACTAGATTTTAATGGTTTTTTCAATGTAAAAAAACTTTTTTTTTTTTTAATATAAAATTTACTCATTTCTTGTTCCAATTTTCCAAGTTAATTTTTGCATTTATTTCATTTTAAAAGTAAAGAAGTAAAATTTACTTATGAAATAAGGAAATGCTGAACCAATAAGCAGCATCCAATGTGGCAGCAACAAATAACATCGAAAACCATAACCAAATTAAAATGAATATTTTCTCGTTGAATATATTTATAACAAGAACACACTACAAATATTTCATCCTATTTCATTTGATCATAAATTTGTCCTCGTATTTACATTCATCATTTCAATCTAACTAATTTTATTTATTTCTATAAAAATTAAATCACTACACAAAAAAAAAAAAGTGAAGAAAATATGACACAATTTGACACTATTCCTTACAACTTTCTTTATTCTATCGTTTTCTTATATTTTTTTTTTCTGTTATTTTTTTCCACTTTTAATTTTATAATATAACCTATTCTGTCATTTCATCACTAACTCTAAAGAATTCTATTAAGCATATAAATTTATTTCATCCATCTAACATGACACTAATCAGCTATTCAATCTGCTTAAGAACCTATAAGTAAAAACATGGAATATAAATGAAAACATCACTAACTCTAATGAAGTTCCCAAATAATTCCCTAAGAGTATAAAAAATGAAAATTACATGCCTGTACAGAGTGCCGTTGATTATTGCCAAGAACACGTACTTCAAAGTCGCACTGAAATTAAATTTCTAAATTAACTTTTCCAAAAACATTTTTAACAGAAAAGAAATATTTAAATAGAATCAATGTGATGAATGTTTATATGAACTGATGATTAGTCTAAATGATATTACTTAATTTATCTCATTTTTTTGTCTATTAGCTAATTTATATTAGAAACTAACAATTTTAATTGTCGCATTATTAGGAGAACAAACAATATTAGATATAAAAACAGAATGAACTTTTCCAAATTTTGCAGAAACATTAGGAAGAGAAAGAAAGATGAAGAAGAGTCTAAACATTTATATCAATTACACAACTTTTCTGGTCATTTCAATTAGATGAAAGATCATAGATGTGCAAAATAATCTTTCTGGTTTTTTTTTTTTTTTTTTTTTTTTAAAATGAAAACAATGAGTAGATAAAAGAACTGACCAAAGTAACTCGTGGAAAATTACCAGATTCCATCCAAGATCTGCCAAATAAGAGGTCACGCAATACACCGAGACCATAAATGGAATATTCGTCGGTCTCCAAAAATTTATTTACTAATATCAAATTGGTTAATATATTGCTTACATACATTACTTTTGTAGCCTGCAAAAGAGCAACATGGAATAGATGTAAGTGACAGCCTTAAAACTAAAGTTGAATTGGCACAGCCTTAAATATCATAAAATAAGTGCCTAGCACTGTTATAAGTCTCTTCTCAGAGGCATCAGAGGAAGCTATAATCTTTTAAATAACTAATAAAACAATACGATGGCATATTAAGGAGAACAAAAGTGAAGAAAGAAAAATTTAACAATACCTTACCAAATACAGGCCTGTCACATAACTTTCATAATAACGCATATTTAAGCATTTTAACACTCTATGTAATGTATATTGAGCTCTTGAGGTGGCTGCATGCTGGTACCTAAGTAGATTGGTTCTCAGATGATAGTAAAAACTGTAATTTAATACAGTTTAATTAAAATAGAAATAAAGAAAAAGCAGTATTGGACTATTTACATTGTATAATGGAAAATCATTGAAATTGGAAATAGTAGTTTAATCAGAATTGGAATAATATAAGAATCGAAATAAACAAACAACAACACATGTTTTAGTATTCCTTACCAGGACGATCAATTTGCTTAGGTAAGTGAATGGAATAGAGAGACAATACCTGAGAGCAGATTCGATATGACGCGCAAGTGACTCGATGATTCGTGTCCGGTAGTCTGGTTCAATGTTTTCTTTTTCTGTTGCTAATTGAACAATATCATTCAACCGGATGCCTACATTGTTTGATATTTCAGATAAATTTAAATTTATTGAAAGCTTACACGAATAATCCTAATCATATACTTTTGAGTTTGCCTTTTTGTGTGAAATCAAATTTTATTTAATTTTTAGTTTTCAATTCCAAATTCGATTAGTATAGAATAAAATTTGAAACTTATCAATGATGAACCATCTCTTAGATATTGTTCAATATCTATTTTCTGATTTGATCAATTTATAATGAAAATGTTGATGGTTAAATAATTCAAGTTTAACATTTCAAAAATTTTTTCAATCAATTTAGATTTCAAAATTCATTCTTACAATTGCTTTTGTTAAATTGCCAGGAAGCTAAAAGCATATTGCAAGTATTTTTAAAATCGTAACTGCACGAGTAGAATGAAGAGATTGATGAAATTACCAGACTTGTCGCTCATTAGACGCCAAACGAGACATGGAATATAATAGAGAAAAGCTTGAATAAGAAGGAAAAATGGCACCCATTGATAATAAGAGATTTGACGATATTCCCGCTCTGCTATATCCATTGGGATATCCTAGAAGAGAAATAGTAGTTTGAATTTTAAGTTAATTCTTAACAAATGTTTTTATCATTTTTGAATAATTTCCTTTTCAATGGAATGCATTCAATGCTATAAACAATGAATGAATGAATGCTTTAGAATTTTATTTTTCGTCCTCTCAGTCCCAAAATTAATTCGCACCTGTGCAACATTTTGCAATGTAACATTTAGTGACCAAACAATTTTTCATTTAATAATTTCTAGATGTGAATGAATACTTTACCTGTTCGATAGGTACCCAATAGGTATTTTGAGCCCAGCAATACATTTCTGTATAAGCTTCCCATGAGCTTGTGAATTGTGCAGGCACCCAGCATTCTAGCGGTCGACCACCAAACTTCAACATCTTTTATACTTCACTTCAGAATTTATAAAAGTATCAAGAAAAAAAGCAAAAACAAAATGTCATAAATGATATTTCAACAATTTCAACTCTGCGATTTCTTATAATTATATAGTTATGAATTAATTAATCAAAGAAAATTTGAACAAACATTATTTGATTTACTTATGAATAGTTTTTCTCTTTCATGAAAGTGATAACGATATGATAAGTGAATTAATTAATTCACTACAGATCATTCATTCATACTAGTACGATTACTTCAGTGTTATCTTTATTAATTAAATAATTATCGATTTTCTTTCGTTGAATAACTCTAAGATAGATATTTGTTGAAAATATCTCAGAAAAGTGAGCATTTTTCATTTGATATGAGGAGAGTCTTACTTGCTTGAAACTGACTAGAATAGCCATCATAATCAGGAAAGATGGAGTATAAAAGTAAGATAAGCGGTCAACGAAATCGTCATCTTTGCGATAGTGCAAGAAAGATAAGGCGCTGAACATATTCTGTAGCATCATTGCACCTACCTCTAATACCGCTGCAGGATGATAACCTGTCCTGGAGCTTCGCTCACGTCCTAAATGATAATTTAAAATATTAAATCTTTGAATTTATAAAGTTTATTTTAATTATCTACTTTTGAGTGATCTGAATAGCTTAAACTGATACTCTAAAAAATAAGCTTTTTTTTTTTTTTTACTTCTCTATTATATATTCTCATTTATGTTTATATGATCACTTAGTAATACCTTTTATTTTAAATGATGAATTATTAAAATAAATGGAATCGTATGAATACTAAATTATGTCACACAAAATATCGATTTTCAGATGTCTTCAAATGACAAAATCTGCCTAATCAGATGTTTACTTATTTCATCTTGATTTAGGGGAGATCAAATGTTGTCATATATTTTGTAATAATGAATGATAATTTAAAACTGAATTTTAACTAAAATTTGAAGTTAAAATTATTTAAAATTTGCTCTAACTGTTTATTTTCAACACATGCTGCTTTATAAATTTTAAATTTTAGCTTTATATTTATCCGCGATCATCCTTTCTAATTATTTGCCTTCTGATAAGAGTAAATATAATTCCTAATATATCAATACTTATATTATATACTAAAATTTAGGATAAAGTTAAAATTAAAATTTAAAATAAAATACCGTATATATATACCATCAAATGCCATTATTACTAAAAAAAAAAATGAACAAAAAATATTACAGTAATCATTGAGAAAAAGAAATGGGACTTAATAAAAAATGAGCTGCAACATTAAATCATAGTTGTTAACAAACTTTCAGTAGCTCACAGAAATTCAAAATTTGATTTAATTATGTTCTGAAGTATTAAGTAAAAAGTTGAGTCTATGTCTACCTAACAGCTATATTACATATAACAAAGTCAACTGTATGATTATTTATATTAATTTAACAAGTAATAAGATATTTATTACACTTTTTAGTTTTAGTAAGAAAAAAAGAATTTATAATTGGTAGAAATCATAGCAAATTATTGAAAGAACTAATTTTACTATAGGAATGAATTATTATCACTATCATCGTTATCACTTATCACTTGTTAGAGAGCGTATGTATCACAAGGGAAGTTATTATGATTGGAAAGATTGTTTATTTTAGACAGTGCTAATTTTGTTGAAAAAGTATTAATAAAATATATGACCAAATAAATATTAAAATTAGTATTATTATTCAGGAAACAAGTAATTTAAGTAATAAATATGAATGATAGATGAATGAATGGATGTATCATTTTCACTTTTCTTTTAAAGAAATTATATGTGACGATCGAATGATCAAATAAATATAGAAATAAACAAATAAGCCATCATTTCTTTAAAGTTGTAATTTTAGAACCGCACTTGTTAATCAATTGCTTTGCATCAAAAAAAAAAAAAAAAAATTGATTAGCAATACTTACTTATATCAGTCATCTTTTAAAGTATAACATGGAGTATTAGCATATGCAGCATTTTAAGCTAATGATGAATGCATTGATAGTAACAATTGCAGAAGGAGCTCGTAGGACTAAATGAATAAATTTTGATTCGTTTGATGAAATAAATTCCAGTGGGATACTTTAGTATATAAATTGGATTAAATTCTATATTATTAATGCTCCTACTAATAATAAAATACAAGCATTATGGGAATGAAACGAAGAATTCAATCATATTAGAAAATATTATATTATCATATAATTATACAATTTCCTCATTTAACTAATTTTTAATTTCATACTATTGAAATGTTGTAATATAATTTTAAATATCTGAGATATCTTTTCGAAGAAATAAATGATTTTTTTTTCTTTTTTGCAATAGAAATATTTATTGTAATATTTTTAGAATTATTATATAAGTTATAAAAGAATTATCCCATAAAATTTCTCTCTAATAGATATTTGTGAAATAATTAGAACTAAAAGCATCAAACATCATCAAACTCTTCATTTATATATTCTTTTATTTAATTCTTTTTAACTCTAATATAATGCATTCAGTGAAAACAGTTTTTTTGAAAAAGTTATTAATATTACAATACAAAAAAAGAAGAAAAAGAAAGAGAAAGAGAGAGAGAGAGAGAGAGAGATGAGAAAAACCTACGTTATTCCAAAATACTTAAAAGTATTTTACCTTTTTTTTTGGTTTTCTACTAGAAATCTTAGTTTCTTATTAAGAATGAGCAATTAAGCGTATTTACTTGGCGAAAATTATACCGTATTTATTTTACCTTAAATGACATTTTTTTCGTTGTACTACACAAATGCTTCTGAGCATTTTGAGAAAGAATGAATGCAACTAATTTTCAAAAGGTATGTAAGCAGATTTAGAATAAATGAAAGGAAACTTTGGTAATAAAAAGACTGAAAACTAAGTTAGAGAAAAAAAAAAAGTGCGGAAAAGTTTAAAGGACGAAAATTTAAAAATATCACTCGATGAAGAGGAAAAAAAAAAATAATTCAAGTGTTGTAAATTGATTTTCATATGCAATACCTTTATGATAATGCTGTTGTAATCCTTTGAATGTTGAAGAGGTTTCAAACTCACTTCGCGAATACATCTGTTTCAAAATTTAACATCGCCACTACTAGTCCTTTCAACTTTCCATCTTATTTAGCGCTAATAATAATAGCAATAATAGTACATGATGCGTTATCATCATCATCATCATCATCATCAGCATCTTTATTATCATTATCACAATGGTTGCTGTTAATTCGGGGATATTTGAAGGAAGAAATTTTGTTGAAATTTTATGGGAGTTATGCGTGTTGCTGACCACTTTTTCAAATAGAAATATTTAATAGCAATATGATCTGTAAGGAGTTTCAATATATTCTCAGGAATAATTTATAATTCTAATTTCAAATCTTCTGGTTACTACTAATAATAATAACAGAAATTTTAGGAAATACCACAAATTATCGATTTCATTCGGGAATTAAGCATTGATAGTAGCATCCTTATCACATTTTTCATGATATAGCATCCTCATTCTTCTCTTATCATTGTCAACAACTTGCAATTGCAGCAGAAATTAATTATTCAAATGGAGACAGAGATAATTAATTAACTCACTGACAGGAAATATCGAAAACATCAGCTTTTTTAAAATAGTTTTATAAAATTGGAAAGAAATTGAAGTTTGAGAGAATATGCAGCATCTTGAATTGGCTGTCCCCAAGGAGCCTGAAAATGGATAGACAGGTCCCTATATTAGCCATAGAAGAATTATTATGACAATATTAGGTTTGTCTAAAAGACACGATGCGATAGATGCATAACCTATATGATTTATAAACTAATTAGTAATGTATTTTTAATTATTAAACATTTTTTTTAACTTCAAAAGATTAAATTTCAGTTCCATCCTTGCTACTGAATTATTAAATTCTAATTGATGCAGTAGTATTATAAAGGATATTTAATCTTTTTTGTCCTCATTTATAGAAAGTCTCAGGAAACTTTTACGAGAAATGAAAAGTAATTGATGTATATTTTGTATTCGTAGAATGTAGTGTTAATTCTAGAAATAAATGCTTTTCTTCCACTTTGTTGAATTTGACAAAATCAATTTGATTCAATTAATCATCAGAAAATCGTCTAATTTTTTTTTTTTTTTAAATTATGTCATAAGATGTAATCCATAAGGAAAAAAGAAAACATTATATCATAAGATGTAATGATATCATTTTCTCACTCTTTTTTTTTAAAAAAAAAGTCATTCTTAAACAATTATTTTGTAGTAATTACAAGATGGAGCAATTTTCACTTAAATTTATTAATTTAATTCCAAAAAATGACTTATTTCAAGTGATTAAGACATGAAATCAATGAACAGATTAGAAGGAAGAATTGAAGTAAATTCATTAAAATTTATGTTCAATGTCTCGCAAATAAATCACTAACAAATTAACATGATTACAAACAGTTACTCTTCAATTAATTTAACAAAATTGGATAAAAATTATAATTTCATCATCACTAAATTTAAAAATAATAAAATAATGGCTAAGAAAAGAAATAAATCTAAGATAGGTCATACAGGCGAGTAATTATTTGACGATTAGTGATCGTACAAATTCTTTAAAAGCTAAGTTTTTTTTTAACAAAAACAATGACACAAGATGAATATAGTAGTTTGTAATGAATTTGGCGGAGATGTATTTTTGATAAGCGCTTTAATGAATAGTCTTGAATAATAGAGAAAAACAGCTGATAAGCAAACTGATAAGCAAAAGCACATAATTTATCTCAAAGAAGAAAATATGATTTTCGATTAGTTAAGTAAGAACTACAAAAAAGTTTAACCTAAAAAAAAAAAAAAATGACATGAAAAAAGTGTGAGAAGGGAAGAAAAAATTTGCTAAGAGAAAAACAAAGCAAATCTTATCGACAAAATTTTGCTATCTGAGAGTGAATTAGAAAGCTTGTAATGTCTAGTAGGAAAAAGCTATAGCGAATGTCTACTAATATTTTGACATGTCTTAAGTCCTCAAAAATTTGCGACAATGAATAATCAAAATATTTGATGAGTTCGTGATTTCATCTGTTAAATGAATTGATTTGAGGTAATTATGAACTGTTGCATAATTTAATGATAATATTTGGCAATTTTAATACAATGTAAGTGCTTTATTGAATAATTTACAAGTAGAAATTATAACAAAGTAGCAATTACTTTGAGAATAACAAAATAAAGTGAAATGCAAATATATTAATATGATTACAATTGAATTCAAATAACAAAATATTCAAATATCGGTGCAAATTAGCTATGAATTGGTTTTACAATTAGTTTAAGTAAGCTCTAAATGAATTATAGCAGCAAGCAAGCAGTTATTTTTTAAATGATAATTTAACAATTTAAAGTTTTAGCTTCTCTTTTATAAGGTCTGATAAATATGTTAAAATTAATAAGTGAGGACTGACTGAGAAATTTTACAAAGAGAAGGATTAACTCATCACTGTAATTTGGGAAGTGAA